GAGTTGATCATATGATTCTTGTTTTTAAGTCTATTAATATGATGAATTACATTTATTAATTTCTGTATGTTGAACCAACCCTGCATCCCTGGGATGAACTTCACTTGATTGTGGTGTGCTATCTTTTTAATATGTTTTTGTGTGCAATTTGCCAGAATTTTATTGAGAATTTTTGCATCTATGTTCATCAGGAATATTGGTCGGAAGTTTTCTTTCCTTGATGTGTCTTTGTCTGATTTTGGTATCAGGGTGATATTAGCCTCATAGAATGAAATTGAGAAGGGTTTTTTTGGATGGGGTCCCCTCTTTTTCTATTTCATGGAATACTTTGAGGAGTATTGGTGTTTATTCTTCTTTGAAAGTCTTGTAGAACTCAGCTGAGAATCCATCTGGTCCTAGGCTTTTCTTGGTTAGTAGGCTTTTGATGGCATTTTCTATTTCAGCACTTCAGATTGATCTGTTTAAAGCATGTATGCCATCCTCATTCAGTTTGGTAGGTCATATGTCTCTAGAAATTTGTCGATGTCTTTGATATTTTCTATTTTATTAGAGTATATATACATTTTCAAAATAGTTTCTAATTATCTTCTGTATTTCAGACATGTCTGTTGGGATATTTCCTTCTTCATCTTGTATTTTAGTAAATCAAGTTTTCCCTCTTTTTCTCTTCATTAGCTTGGCCAAGGGTTTATCTATTTATTTTTTTCAAATAACCAACTTTTTGTTTTGTCAATTTTTTGAATTCTTTTGTTCAATTTCACTAATTTTAGATCTTAATAAATTATTTCCCTCTTCTGTTTTTGGTGTTGATTTGTTCTTCTTTTTCTAGGGCTTTGAGATGTAGTGTTAGGTCATTTATTTGTTGACTTTTTATTCTTTTAATGAAAGGACTCAACGCAATAAACTTTCCTCTTAGTACTGCCTTCATAGTGTCCCAGAGATTTTGATATGTTGTATCAATGTTCTCATTTACCTCTAAGAATTTTTATATTTCATCCTCAATTTCTTCTACTATCCATTCATCATTCAATTGTGTATTATTTAGTCTTCATTTGTTAAGTAGCTTCTATTTTTTATTTTATCATTGACTTCTAATTTCATTCCCTTGTGATCTGATAGAATGCAGGGTATTATCTTTTTTTTTCTTTTTTTTTTTTTTTGTATTTACTAAGAGTTGCTTTGGGGTATAAGATATGGCCTATTTTAGAGAATGAGCCATGTGCTGCTCAGAGGAAAGTATATTTGCTCAATGATGGATGAAATATTCTATATATGTCTGTCAAGTCTAAATTATTGATTGTATTATTTAATTCTATAGTTTCCTTATTTAGTTTTTATTTGGAAGATCTGTCCAGTAGAGACAGAGGTGTGTTAAAGTGATCCAGTATTATTGTGTTGTGGTCTTTTTGACTCTTGAAATTGATGTACATAGATGCTCCACTGTTTGGAGCATAAATATTTATAACTGTTATGTCCTCCTTATATATACTTCCCTTAAGAAGTATGAAATGCCCTTCTTTGTTTCTTTGGAATAACTTTGGTTTGAAGTCTACTTTATCTGAAATGAGAATGGAAACCCCTGCTTGCTTACACAATCCATATGCGTGATAAGTTATTCCCCGTCCTTTCAGCCTGAGGATGTCTTTGCCCATGAGGTGAGTCTCTTGAAGACTGCATTGTTGGGGCTTGCTTTTTTAATCCAATCTACCAGTCAGTGTCTTTTGACTGATGAGTTTAGGCTGTTAACATTCAAGGTTATTATTGAGATATGATTTGTATTCCCTGTCATTTTATTTCTGGTTTTGATTTGTCTTGGTTTCCCATTTGGTTGAATGTCCCTTTAGTGTAGATGCTCCCTTTGCTGGTTCTTTTTTTTTCCATTTCATCCTCATGGAATATTTTGTTGAGAATGCTCTGCAGTGTAGGCTTTCTAGTTGTGAATTCTTTTAACTTTTGTTTATCATGGAATGTTTTAATTTCATCTTCAAATCTGAAACTTTTGCTGGATATAAAATTCTTGGTTGGCATCCATTTTCTTTCAGAGCTTAAAATATATTATTCCAGGATCTCCTAGCTTTGAGGGTCTGGGCTGAGAAATCAGTTGAGATCCAAATTGGTTTCCCCCTATTATATAATTTGATTTTTTTTCTCTCGCAGCCTTTAAGATTTTATCTTTATTTGCCGGGTTCCTTCCCTAGCGGGGTCCAGGGAGTCCTGAAGGATGAGTGGCGTCAGCAAAAAGATGAGACAGGAGTCGTTCCGTTCGAGCAATCTCCAGAGAGAGAGCTAATGCAGCTTTCTCTGGGTCATCTTTTATTACAATTTTTCTCATCATTATAGATTCAGAATACGTCATTGATTATATAATTTAAAACTTTGCCAAGACATGACATTTCCTTAACCATGATTGGGGGTACAAAAAATGTAACATTAATTTACATTTTTCCAGGATATGTCCTTCAGTTATATAATTATTAAAAGTACAGAATCATTAATAAAATACGTCACTAATTTACATTTTTTCAGATTTTCCCAAGATTTACTATTTTTCCCGAGATATGCTATTTTCTTATTAACTAATGCCAAACTACATAACCAGACTCTAAGTCTCCTAACCAATCATTAACCTAAAGTACACTTGTACTTTATTTCTAATCTAAAATTCCCATCTAAAAAAGTCCCTTTAAATCTTATATTTAAAATACCCTAAAGTTTATGAATCATTCTTAAAACATATCAGAAACCTATACAACTAAAAGCTTAAGAATCTCTAAACTTAAGAATCTAAATAAAATAATATTTCTAACATTATTCTAAAACTGTGTCTTACAAAGCTATTTTAATTAATTCCTAAATTTATTCTCATAAAACTGGTTGAGCTGCTTTCTCAAAGAGTTTCTTTGTTTCTCAGTCAAGGTGCACTAGTTCTCATATCTTTATAATCTTTCTCAATAGAAAGGAAGTTCTAAAAATCAATCCACTTTCCACCAATATTAACTATGCTCATCATATATCCCTATGTAAAGTAAGAAAGGGTTTATAAAAAGAGAAAAATATATCTTTATATGTTTTAACTTTTCTAAGTGTATAATATAACTTTCCTTAATCAAAAATGAAACTGCATGTGGTGAACTTTGTGAAATAAGCATACTGATTAGGTTTTCTAAGAGACCGGAAATATGGGCTTGGGTTCTAGTTGGTATAATCAATGTGGTGCCTAAAATTCTCATGACCTTTCAAAGGATGATTGTTGTCCGTTATCAGGTTTATCCACAATGTACTGTGATAGAAGAACAGCCTTCTACTTTGTCCTTGATATGCTGAGGGGTAGTAGAACAGCCTTCAAGGCATGAACTACCTGTTATGTTCTAGCCATCTGAAATTTAATTTGTTTGGCATTTAACATACTCATGCCTCCTGTCAGAAACATAAGCATGAAAATGCAAAGTCCCAATTACATAAAAAAGGGTCTCATGGTTTCGGTTTCCCACCAACCAGCGTGGCTTTGCCAGCATTCATCCTCACTGTGACCCTGTCAAGACAGTGGGAGAGCGGCTTTGCCAACACTTTTTCTCACTGTGACCTTGTCAAGACAGTGAGTGGGGGATCGCCTTCACCATTTATTCTCTGTGTTAGAGACACATTCACATTATAATTTTCATTATAATTGTCTTGGTGTGGGTCTGCTGTAATTTTGTACGTTCGGGGTCCTGTAAGCCTCTTGCATTTGATTTTCCATTCCATTATTTAGGTTTGGGAAATTTTCTGCTATTATAACATTGAAAAAAAATGTGCATTCCTTTGGCTTATATCCCTCTGCTCCTTCATCTATTCCAATAACTCTTAAATTTGGTCTTTTCATGTTATCCCATAATTCTTGGATGTTCTGTTCATGGTTTCTTACCATTGTCTCCGAGTGTTCAACTTTACTTTCACGATTATATATTTGTCTTCATTGTCTGAGGTTCTGCCTTCCAAGTGGTCTAGTCTGTTGGTGATGCTTTCTATTGAATTTATAATTTGGTGTACTAATTCCTTCATTTCAAGGATTTCTGCTTGTTGTTGGTTTTTTGTTTTGTTTTGTTTTGCTTTTTTCACCATCTCTAACTCTTGATTGAAGTGGCGATCTCCGGGGTCAGCAGCAGTGTCGGCTTCAGTTGTATCTGGGACAGTGGTTTCTTCTGTGGCAGCAGCACCCAGAAAGAAGACCTCCAGGTGACTTCAGGCTGGCAGCAGTGGAATCAGAGCCAGCAGCAATAGCAGTAGCTGTGCAGGCAGCAGTTGATTGACAGAAGACTACTGGTTCAGCAGCAGCGACCCCAGAGGTAGCATCAGAATTTGCATCTGAGTAACCAAGGCCATGCTCAGGGAAGAGACCTCCAGGAACAGCAGTGGCTTCTGCGGCATCCCATAAAGAAAACCTCCAGGTGACCTCAGGTGGCAGCAGCAGAGTCAGTGGCAGCAATCGAAGGGTAGCTCTTTGACAACTCCATTTCTACTTTGAAATCAGTCTGTTTAGACAAAATGTGATTTATAAATATATATATATATATATATATGGAAGCTAGAGAGGAAAGGAAAAGAAAGGTAGGGGATGTCTCATGAAAACTGAAGGAGGATCGGGGTCAGTAGAGGAAAGGGGCCAGGGCATGAGGGAAGAGGGGAGAGGAGAGTCCTGGGAGCAATACTGGCCAAATCATATTGTTGTGTACAGATAGGAATATGTAACAACAAACCCACATTATATACAACAGATCTTTATTATTTAGTTTATTGTTTTATAATCATTTCTGCTTTCATTTCTTTCTTCTTTTTTCTTTTCAAACAAAAATGGTTGGGATGGGGTTGTGGCTCAGTGGTAGAGCGCTTGCCTAACATTCGGGCGGCACTGGCTTCAACCCCCTACACAACATAAAAAATAAACAAATAAAATAAAGGTATTGGGCTGGGGATGTGGCTCAGAGATAGAGCACTCACCTACCATGTGTGAGACACTGGGTTCCATCCTCAGCACCGCATAAAAATAAAATAAAGACATTGTATCCACCTATAACTAAAAAAATAAATATTAAAAAATAAAATAAAGGTATTGTGTCTATCTACAACTAAAAAAATTTTCAAAAAAATTGTTTCTTTTCTACCCCATTGTGCTAGACACTCAATTTGCTTATTTTTAGGCCTTTATTTTAATTGATGTAATTAAAAGGTAGAAGTGTTCTCCTTTAAGAACTGTTTTGGTTGCCTCACATATATCCAGATGAATGATGATATCATTTTCATTTACAAATCTCTGCAATTTTGGTTCACATACTTTCTTTTTCCCAAAAGAGTTTTAGTAGAGGCCATTATATTTCCAGGTGACAGAGTCTTTTTTGTTTACTAACTTTATTAATTCATAGGTTTATTTTATTCATGATCAAATATTGGTTATAACTACTTCTGTATTTGACTCTGTTTGCATCCATTTAAGATGAGCCCTCCTGAGCTCCTAAGGCCCTCTGGCCCTCCATCCCTGCACAGAGTCTGGATGGACAGAGAGGGGACTCGGCTCATCCTTGCCTTAGCAGAATGGCTGTGACATGGTGTTAGCTTCCTACCACTTGGTCTCTTTGAAGACAGATGTATCCCAGTGTCCTGTTTCATGTTTTCTGGCCTAGAATCTACCTGGCCTGATGGAAAGACACTGACTGTTGATTTCTGTCGCTTTTGCGTGTGCACTTGCCAGTGGTTAGATCTTAAGTTTTCTCACTCAGTTTCAGACGTGTCTCTTGGATACAGCACAGAGATGGGTTTTGCCTTGTGACACTATTTGAAAAAGTTTCCTTTGAATCAGCAAGTTAACACCATTTACATGTTATGGTGTAGGTTTGGTTTTAGTTATGTCAGAAATTATTTCATATTATGACCACTGTATATGCCTCATCCCACTCTAGCCCACTTTCCTCCAGTAGTGTATTTTGACACTCTTTCCAACTGGCTGGAGGTAGATTAGGTAAGTAATCAAGCTCTGTGCCCAGAGAGGACCAGTAGAAGGAGCCTATCAGTGGGCCGGGGCTCTGTGGGGATGTCTTGGGAGTGTGCTGTTATTCCTGTCCTCTTTCAAGGTACATTCACAAAGACCAAGGATGCGCAGCTCTTTGCAGGACTGTCTCCTGTCCTCCAGGTGACTGCTCTGATGACTCCTCTGACCAGAGGCCTTCCCTGGCGGGACCCCTGCCCACACAATGTCCACCCTGCACATTGGAGCTTGTTTCCCACGCGGCCCTCTCCTAGAGGTGCTGCAGCTGGCTACCAGAACGTCTGCTCCACGAGGACATCAACTCCTCACAGAGGAGGATGCAGTGGGAATCTGAGAAATGGATTTGCGTAAAGCTGAGGTGGCAACTGCTCTGGCTTTTCTATAGAACTCAACTTTCATTGTCTCCTGGTTCAGTCCTATTGTTGTGGCCTCAGGTACTCGTTAGAAGTCAGCAAAGCTTACATCATAGATGAATGCTAGACACGAGGATGTAGAATAAACTACTTACCAACATAACAACACAGCGCTTTCCTTTCAGCCAGGTCCCATCCTTCAGCCTTTACTTTCAGCACTGGTTAGTAGCTTAATTAAATGCAGCAACCACATTTTGGGGTGCTTAGCATGTGCCAGATGCTAGGGATATAGTAAGTAAGACGGCCTCCTGACCCAAGGAGGTCAAGCCAGCAGATGAGGAGAGCTGTGACAAATTGCCACTTCTGCTTCCCAGCTGCGGCACAAACCTGTCCACTCTTCCCTCTCCAGGTGTTGGCTCCTCTCACACAGTGGGCTGGGTGCCTCTTGAGGTCTCCAGCAGGCCTCTTGTCTGAACATCTGCTTTACTCTTTGTGTACGCACCCTCCTAAGGGTAGAACCATAACTCCAAAGGGCTAAGAGCCACATAATTTTTTTTTTTTTTTATGGTGCCAGGGTCTTGTGCACGTGAGGCAAGCACTCTATCAACTGATCTGTATCCCTGTGTCCTCAGTCCTTAAGAGCTGATAGACCCAACCTGATCTTTTCTTAAAATTGGGAGCCATCTCGCCACAAAGCCATGAAAAGATAATTTCGGCTTTACTATAAATTACTGCAAATTCTGAACCTGCTTGGAATGCCTGGCTCTCTGACCAGATAACAGCCCTCTCTGAGGCTCTAATAGTCCTCATAAATTCTGATGTTGGGGCCAGCAAAAAAATGTAAACTACCATTAGTGTGATGCTTGTCAGAGTTCTGTTATCTGTAACCCTCCTTTGTGTAACTTTCTGGGCTATAAAGCTGGGCTGCAGGAAAGCTGGGGTTGCTGCTGTCTTGTTCCCGCGGTTTTGGGAGGGAGAGGCAGCCCTGCTGGTCGAAATAATAAGCTTGCTTTAATTTGATTTTAATTGGAGTCAGTGGTCTTTTCTTTCGTCCTGGTCTAACAAGAGCCTCATGACTTTCTAGCACCATTAACGATCTGGTCCCAAGTCAGATATACAGACGTCTCCAAGTGTGTCTTTAAATGTGTTGATTTCTTTTTTTTTTAAAGCAAGGACCCAGTCAAGGTTCATGCATTGCACTTGGTTGTGACATCTTTCAGCATATAGTTTCCCAGTGTTGTTTCTTTTCTTTCAAATGGAATTGACATTTTAAAGAGGAACAACAAAGTAGGTGTACAGCTGCCTTCATGTTCAGGGTTCTCAGTGGTTCTAGATAAGTTTCTCCAGGAGCAACTTCTCCCTTTGGCAGACTCACGACAATCGAGTCTTGGCCAAGGTCTGAGGCTCAGGCGGTTTATTCCAGCAGCTGCATGTCAAATGGTGGGAGCAGGCTGGGGTGTAGTAGATGACTGCCTGACTGGGAGGGTGTCTGTCTAAAGGCCATTCTGAGTCTGGGGGAGTCTTTTCTTACATCATGAGCCAGCGGGTTATCATGTGTTCCTCTCATAAGGGGAGTTTAAACCATCCTTGGAAAGGTCAGCTTAAGGTTTTCGAGAGTGGATTCTGTGAGGCGGTGGGCTTGTCTCCTGGAATCCCCCAGGTCAGGGCATCACACTGCTGGTGACACACAGTGTGGGCTGGACGACGTGTGAGTGGGCTCTATGAATGTCAGCCACAGTGCTCCCAACAGCCTGCTGCAGCTGCCCCGCCCCGCCCAGTACTTGGGCCTCCACTACACAGTGCTGGCAGACACTGAAATGTGATGAGCATGATGTGCTACAGGGCAGATGAAATGTGTATTGGAGTTTGAATACTCAGTACAAGATACAGTTTGTAAAATATCCTACTGTATTCACATTGATTACATGTAGAAGTGGCCTTTGGGTATATTGCGTTAAATAATTAATTAAAGTTGCTTCTTTTTTACTTTTCAGAAATGACATATGTGACCAGCTTGTTTTTAGACAGCTGTGGCAGAGATTTGACTAGATTCAAGTGGAGCCTCCAGAAAGCTTGTCCCAGAGGCAGGGTCTGATGGGTGATAGGGTGACTGCCTTCCTTCCTCTGCAATAAACAATTTGTGATTGTTCTTTGGATCTGCAATAATGTGTATTCCCAGGAGGCTTTCACTGGCAATTGGGGCATCCATCGTGGATTCTGGCCAGAATCATGCCCATGAGGAATTGAAAGCTGTGACCACCCACTCTGCCCGGACTGCCTGGCGCTCCTTCCTTTACCCTCTTCCTTTTCTTCTTTGAATCTTACCATAGACCATTAAAAAATCAAATGGGTCATGATGTCTTCTGATGACCGTCCTACCTCCCTGGAAGCCCCTTAAGGCAGCTCTGTGTCCTCTGGAGCACTTGCCTATTTTATGACACAGCAAGTTGCCATAGGCTCCTCTTGATGAGCCTGGGGGTGGGAGCTGGGTGTGCTCTTTGCTTGGGGCTGTCATTTCCTCTGGCCTTTCAGAGCTCAAGCCAGGAAACTGTGGGCTGCTATCCCAGTGCCTGATTCATTCATTTTTATTGTGGTAAAATATACAGAAACTTCTATTTTAACCGTTTGGAGTATGTGCTTCAGTGCTATTAAATAGCCTCATGTTCACATTGTTGTGGTCTGATTCAAATCTATATTATAAATGCTTTCTCCCTATGTATTTAACATTTATCACACAGGTGTAGAGCCAGATTCTCTCTCATTGACTCTCTGATCCTCTTCTTCACTTCCCGTTTGTCCTCTTGGCTCTTTCCTGTTGACCCCGAGTTTCTCTCTCTCAGGCATCTTGTAATTTAATCTCCATTAATGGGGCAAAGATTTTCTTAAAAGCTGTTTCTCTGGTCAGCTTTCACTTTAAATCTTCAAGTTGTCTGTTTCCATTCTGAGTTTCTAAAATTTCTGGTTGATAGTGTTCTATGATATCTGCAGCCTCTTGTTTTAGGTCCACTCCTACCATAGGTAGGGTCTAGTTTAAGTGTGAAAATGGAGACCCAAGTACCATATGTCCACGTACTATACACAGGGAGATGTGTCATGTAATATGTGATGTCTTTTACCCTGTGTCTGAACATCCAAAAGACACGCTCCTGTTTCTGAACTCAGGTTCAGGGGCTCGTCTCGTAGAAAAACTGATGTTCTCCATAGGAGAGTGGGTTTACTCAGTGGCCAGAGAATGGAGGGCCTTGCTCACAGATCAGTTTGCCAACTCTCAGCGGGTGAAGCCTTATAAATAGAGAGGGAGAGGCTAATAAAGGGGAGGAATACTCATTTCTTTTATGGGAATAGGCAGAGATCTTCCAGGAACTTGAGTGCCACCTCTTTTTACTCCTTTTACGGTCTGGTGTTTCAGGCATGGTGGCTGGTAGGTACCTGTAGCTTTAAGGTAGGGAGAGAAAGACGCGAGGCGAGTCTAAGTCAAGTTAACCCTATGAGACTATAAAACTATATTATAGTTTTGGCAAACCATTTTCAAATGATCAATATGTCTACGTGCAAAGCCAAATAGAGTCTGACCCTGTTATGCTCGAATTCGGGACCCCCAAAGACCACCAGAGACCCAAGATCGATGTAAGCAGCAAAGAGGTGTTTATTGCGAGCTAGCTCGGTCCTCCGCGCACACACACAGCAACTGGTGACGCTGAGAGGCCCCGAGCCCAGGGTTTGCAGCAGTTTTATACATTCTTTGGAGAGGGCAGGGACTTCACATACATCATAGCATCTCTTAGCAAATCATCACACACCGCAGGAAAATCGAATAACAACTCTAAAACATGATTAGCGCATTCACTGGCGGGAACAAGTTGGGTAGGGGTGATTGGTCAGTACAAAAGGGGTATTCATTTGAACTGATTGGTTTAAGCCAAGAGGGGAGGACGTGCTGAACTACATGGTTTCCCAACATGTTATCAACCACCATAAACTACTGGGAGGGTCATCTGGCATCCCAGGTATTTCCCTTTCTCATGCTGATTGGTGGCTGCTAGGGGGCTGCTATGGGTCCCCACCTATCCTGACGGAGTCAGGGACATCTGGCTCAGTAGATCTCTCCTGTTATTTGTAGATAAACAACTTAGCAGGGTGGGAATGTGCTTAGGAGTGCTCTGTGGGTTTTTCCAAGGACAAAGGCCATGTCCCTTCCTTGGACAGGCTTTGCTCTGAGATAGAGGCTGGTTTTTCAACCCAAAGGTTAAGGCTGCAGAAGGGACAAACTTCCTGTGAAGACAGACCCACTCTTGGGCCCAAGCCAAGGATCAGCATTCCTTAGTCCCAGAAAACTAACCCAGGCTACTATCACCACCATTGTGACTGTGTGAAGCAAGTGAAAGATTAACATAGTGTTGCCCAGCTATGTGACCAGAAAAATTAGTGATTTTTAAGTCAATTAAGAGAAAGTGAAGCTAGAGGGTTTATTTAGGTTTTTTGGGGTAACACTCCTTGCTTCTATCTTGATGTAACATTTTCATAATGATCTGGAAGGTCAGATTGACAGGAAATTCTTGGACACTCAGAGATCAACACCAAGAGATGGTGACATGGGAAGAGTTCCAGACCCACTCACCGCCTGCCTCCCTTCTCTTCCCACCTGCAGCTCTTCCATTGCAAAAGAACCTCACACATCCCCCAGTAGACACCCCAGCAGCCTACCTCTCGGAACCGTGTCCTTTCTTCCCACAAACACCACCTGTTGGCCAGCCTTTGGATATGCTTGGCCCTTGGAAGCTGAGATCTAGATGAGACACCTGGAAGGAGCTCAGGGCTGGCTTCAGAGGGGGTTCTGGGGAAAACAGGTGCAGGTGGTCTATCTTCCCACATCCTCCTCCTGCTGTGGGAGAGGGCCTAGGGAGGCTGGCATGGAGCCCTCAGAGCAATCCTGGATCTAAAGGGGTCCTATTATGTCTCATGTTCAAACCAGAGTGATACCTAGTGTTCCTAAAGTACCTTAATCCGACTGTGTCAGAACTGAATTGAATTGTAGGTCACCCAGTTTGTGCTGGAGAATCGTTCCTGTGGGGAAAACCCCACACATTTGGTGTCAAAATGTCTTGAGAGTAGCATGAATATGGAAAGAAAACAATGTTTTTTCCTATCTTAGTGTGGGAAGCCGTTCTCGCACATGATTAAGCTACCTGCCTGACTGGGTGTGAGGCGCTCAGACCAGCTGTGTCAGAGCCTTCCCCACCCTTTCCGGGTGCAAGGGCTTGTCCGTGTGGGGGTGTGACTGACCATTGACCTGGAAACCAATCACTGATTGGAATGCTGTCCCCCTCGACCTTCACTGGATAGAATTTTCCCAAGTTTTTTGTTCCCCAATAAAAGCCCACTCTCTGGCGTGCTTCTTCCTCTCTCCTGCTGGTCTCTTGTGTAAACCTCGCTACCACATCAGGTGGCTAGAGGTAGGAGCGGGGAGAAGCCGTCTCTTAACTGGGCAAGAAAAAGGTAAATTGAGTTTTATGTGTCTTTAATTTGATCTCACTAGTTAACTTCTATGTTTGGAACCTCTAGTATGAAGCTAGCGTGCTATTCGCGCGGCAGATTTGGCGCCCACGAGAGAGCATATTAGGCTCCTTGTTTTCCTGTTCCAAGATTACTTGCTTCTGTGCATACAGGAAGTAAGTTCACCACTGTGCACCTGCACCAACAGAGGACCACCTAGACAGATGGACTTGGACTGTAAACAGGTGGTAGCACAAAGGTGATCTGTTTTCCTTATACTTTCCTATATTTTTTATAAGCATGTGTTACTTTCTGTGATTATTAACAATATTTACTGAGCAGTTGCCATGTACCAAACACCCCGCTAAATGTTTCAGACACAGCTTTCCTCACAGTGTCCCCTGAGGCAGGAACTCCCATCTTCATCCTACAGATGAGGACAGCAAGGTGGACAAGAGAGGGGGCCAGAGGCAGCGGTTGTAACCAGCCTGCAGAAAACCTCAATCTTAATGCTGTGTGTGTGTGTTTGTGTGTGTGTACTAGAGACTGACCCAAGAGCGCTCTACCTGTCAGCTACATGACCAGTACCTTAAAAAAGTTCTGAAGGCTGGGGTTGTAGCTCAGTGGTAGAGTGCTTGAAGCATATCACGTGTGAGGCACTGGATTTAATTCTTGGCATCACATAAAATCAGTAAATGAAATAAAGGTCTTGTGTCCATCAACAATGAAAAATATTTTTTAAAAAAAGTTTTTGAGAGAGGATTTCATTAAACAGGTCTCAAACTTGCAATCCTCCTGCTTCAGCCTCCCAAGTAGCTGGGATTACAGGCACGCACCATGGCACCCAGCTCTCTTATGCTATTTTGCCTCAATCAGAAGATAAACAAAGTCATTTCCATCCTATTACTGAAGGCCTCAGATCCCCAAATTAACTTCCCTGTCCCCTCATCCCAATACAAAGAAGGTTCCCAGCCTCACAGAGACAAAACACTGGCCTAAATGCCACTGTGCTTGAGGCTGCTGAGGACGTGTGGAAAAGCAACTTTCATAAACACCCAGATACAAACTAGACTGCAGAAAGCACTGGGGGTGCAGGCGACTTGGCAGTGGCCGAGCAGGTGGGCTATCTGCTTCCGATGCAGCTGCCTGTGCCGCTCCCAGGAAGGCAACCTGAACGGCCTCTGCTCTAGCCCTGAGCACACGGGATTCCTTCCTCACACAACTATCTGATGGTGTCACCACTCTGCTTCAAAGTCACAGAGATCTGTCCCTTGACTTCTCACACAGCAGAAGTTCTCAGCTACAGGCAGAGAAGATGGAGGCTCCCGTTGGGCCCTCTCTAGCCTCGACCTTGTCGAATGCTCCTGATTTGCAGAAGTCCCTGCTGGACTGGGTGGAAAAGAAAGTCCAAATTCCACAGAGAATTCTGGACCATCTTGAAAGCCCTCTCTGGTTAAGTGATGTCTCTTCCTCCCTCTGGTTTCCTGCTCAACTCAGACATGCCCTCCTCTTGAAAAATGCAATGCTGCCCTCCTTGGTATGTGTGCCCTCTACACATGTCCTGCTGCTGCCCCTCCATGGGCAAACAGCTCCTGGACCTTGGCTTATGGTCTGACAACCACGAGAAGGTCCCACCCTAGTTCTCAACGTGCCTCACTTATGCATCCTCGGACAGGGCCAGACGCATCAGTGGAGCCGGGGAACTGAATTTTGTGGGGGACTGAACCCAGGAATGCTTTACACTGAACTATATCTCCAGCTCTTTTTATTTTTGAGACCAAGTCTTAGTGGCTTTGGACTTCACGGAGTTGCTAAGCTGGCTTCAAATTTGTGACCCTCCTGTCTCAGCCTGTCACTGGGATCATAGGTGTGGTCCCTGTGCTCACCAGGGCAACTTTCACTTAGCGTTTCAGGACGACATTCCTGAACCCCACTTCACCACAGACAATAAAACTGTCTTTTTTTATTGCTCTAGAGAGCCGCCTGACATTTTCTTGCAGGAGCCAGGCCTCCCTTCCGCAGGGGAGAACCAAATAAAGAATTTGCCTATGTAAATGCACTCCCATGACTTGATTTTAATTCTATTTTCATCCCACCAAAGTTCCCAGTGTCCAGCATCACTGAAAAAAGATCCACCATAAATTATAAATGTGAGTTATCAATTTTTAAATTCTGGCATCCCTTAATCTCTGTGGGAAGTTCCTAAACTGAGTGCCAACCAAAAATACCTGGAATGTTGGCACACTCATCCAGGACACAAGCATAGGCCTCTCACAGACCTGCCTGGTTAGCTTTCCAGCACTGTAATGGAATGCCTGAGATCATCAACTAATGTAGAGAAAAGACTGGTTTTGGCTCAGTTTTGAAGGTTTCAGTCTGGTTGGATCATGACTGGTTGGGCTCATGGCTCTGGGCCTGTGGTGAGGCAGCAAGTGGCAAAGTAAAACCATTTACATCACAAACCAGGAAGCAAAAAAGAAAAGAGGAAAGAGACTGGGCTCCCACAATCTTCTTCAAGGGCACACCTCTCACTAGGCCCCACCTCCCAAATGTCCCACCACCTCCCAAGGTGCACCCTGGTGACCACTGAGCCCTCAGCACGGGCCCTGGGGTACACTTATTCAAACCATAGCAGTGCCCTTAGCCTCTGGAGTTGCCGTCTGACATGAACTCCAACAACTCAAGGCCAACACAGGCCAGAAGCACAGTCCCAGCAAGCCACAGCACTCTGTGGTAAATCACCCTCATGCCTGGTGCAGTGGCACACAACTGTAATCCCAGTGGCTCAGGAGGCTGAGGCAGTAGGATCTCAAGTCCAAAGTCAACCTCAGCAACTTAGCGAGGCCCTAAGCAACTCAGTGAGACCCTGTCTCTAAACAAAAAAATATTTTAAAAAGGGCTGGGGATATGGCTTAGTGGTTAAGCATCCCTAGGTTCAGTCCCTGGTAACAACAACAACAAAAAAATCACTCTCGCATGCTACTCCAGGAGCCTCTGCCTGCTAAGCCCTGACCATGGAAAACCACCCTTCTTCAGAGGGCAGCAGACATGCTCAGCCACAGAGACATGGACATCAGGAAGGTGGACACAGGGCCATGGAGAGACAAAGGGGATGTATTGAGCCAGGGCTCTGTAACACCCACAGCCTCCCCTGCTTCCCTCTCTTCTTGAACCACGGCGTCCGTTGTGGAGTACTTTGGTACTTTGGTATCCTGGGATTAGGAGCAGGGCACTGCTGACAGGGTGGACTGTCATAGACTCGAAGCCCTCCTCCCTTCTCTGTGGCACCTGTGGAGCTTGACCAAAGCACCAGAGAGTTTCTGGGTACCTTGGAGGTGCTCTATTTTTTTCTTCAATCTAGCTACAATGAAAAGACAATAAAGATATTAGTGCAGAAAAATCTGTAAGGGCACACTTTAAGCTTCATCATAGATTGTGTTTATTACAATTTATGGAGGGGATGGGACACTGAGCACGTGCTCCTTCATGGCACCAGGTCTGGCTCTGCAGTCTGCATGGTGAGTGGTCAAAGTGTTGATTCCCCTTCCTTCTCACTGGGGCTGGTGCCCAGGCAGCCCTGCAACACATAGCGCAATGGCCAGCCTCAGGCATGTTTCCGAGGCAAACTGGCTCAACTCCCCTTACGTGCACATTCAGACCTCAGGATCCACGGTTTCTCCATGCATGGATCCAACCACTCCGAGTCAAAGATATTTTTTAGAAAACAATAAAAAACAACAATTCAACAATAGCAAAAAAATAATGGACATTTTAAAACAAAATATAGCAACTATTCATGCAGCATTTACGTTGTATTAGGTGTTATAAGAAATCTAGAGATGTGAATGAATACAGGAGGATGTGTAGCTTATTTGCAAATATTATCCATCTTATATAAGGGATTTGAACATCCTCAGATTTTGGTATCCTAGCAGGGGTGGTCTTGGAATGAATCCCCCAAAGAACCTGAGGGACAACTGTATACAACAGTTGAAAAACTTCTGGGGGATGCTAATTGTAAGGCAAGCAAAAATCTTAAATATTTTCTCCTTATTTACTTCAAAAAACGGAAGATGCTTAATTTGCATACATAGAAAATGCTTCAGATAAGTTCCGCTCCTTAGTCATTCTTAGTCAAATTCACACAGCCCATGGTTGAGAGCATAAAGGGAGTGAGGTTTACTGGCTCCTTCACCAAGTAGCAGCATGGTGAGGAGTTGGGTAATGCTGCATGAGTACATTCTCTCATCTGCAGGTTCTCCATGACATGGACACCGTAACAGGCCCCAAGAGAGCATTTCCAAGCACACTCAGAGCAGAGGTGGGCAGCACAGGTTGGTCAGTTCATGACTGCCCTAGTTCTCTCAGGACATGTGGTCAGGGCAATTGCTACTTAGGGAGGTTTTTCCACCTAAGTCTTGTTTTCTATACTGAAAAAGACAAATTAGAATGCTCGCATTCAAACTCCTTGAGAATGGTCCGGTACGAGCACAAATAATGCACTCATCCAAGGAGAAAATTTTTCTTGGAGATTTTTTTTTCTAAATTTAATACTACTACAGAAAATCTCTTCAAATGAATCCCTTTTCAGGAGGGAACCTGCTTCCTGTGTGCAAGCAGGCACCAAGATAGCTGAGGAGCAAGCACAGCATGCAGGAGGTCAGCAGCAGGCCCTGCTCAGGGGGGTTCCACAGGATGCTAGTCTCTGAGCTTAGGTCAAAATGCCTCATCACTGGCAAGGAGCTACTGTGAGAAATGCTGGTAAGCCACTGAGGCTTTTTGAATCAGAACAGTCTCCTCATCAGCAAATATCATTGTGAGGAGTTATTTTGGCCCAACTGTAAGTAACGCCATGTTTTTTAAACTATATGAAATTTCTTTTCTTTTTTTGGGGGGCGGGGGGCACTAGGGATTGAACTCAGGGGCACTCAACCACTTAGCCACATCCTCAGCCCTGTTTTGTATTTGGGGCACAGCCTCACTGAGTTGCTTACTGCCTCACTTTTGCTGAGGCTGGCTCTGAAGTTGCAATCCTCCTGCCTCAGCCCCCCAAGCCACTGGGATTACAGGCAGCACCACCGTGCCTGGCAAACTATATGAAATTTCTAATAGAAGACATTGCAAAAAGAAAGTACTGTTTTTACCTTGGTAAACAGTTTCTCTTTTGACACATTATATGTGTATATACATATACACATATACACACACACTCACATACATATGTACATGTATGTGGGTATTGGGATTGAATCAGGAGTGCTCTGCCACTGCACTCCATCCCCAGTACTTTTTATTTTTTGTCTTGAGATAGAGCCTCACTAATTTGCTGAGGCTGACCTTGAACTTGTGTCTCATTGCCTCAGCCTCCCAATTTGCTAGGACTACAGATACGTATCACTGTGCTCAATGACACATCATATTTCTTTTAAAGTTTTTACCCCTCCACGGAAGACTCTATAGAAGAAATTTCTTTTTCGTCTGAGAGCTGGAGGACATTCCTTTGCTTTCAGATCCAATGACAAACTTCCCTCATTTTCACTTTCGTTGATATCCCTAAAGCATCCAGATTCGATAATCTGCACACACAGAAGAGAGCACAGAGAAGCTGCAGAAACACGTAAGGTCAGGGGTCCCCCAGAGCCATCTGCCCCTACCCATACCCATGCTTGATGTGGGGCACCTCAGAGCTCCTCAGCCCATCTGGTTCCCTTTCCCAGACTCCTCTTTCCTGTTTCCTGATCACTTCTTGGAACAAGTGTTGTGGCCTCTTCTCTTCCTCTCTGAGTGTGCCACCAGAGGAGTTAATACCACGGCTGTCAGCACCCTGCTTAGGGAGCAGGACTCCAGGACGGCAGGCAAGCCACTGTGTTGGCTGCCTCCTATACACTTCTTTACTGTGACTTAGTTCTGGGTAACTGCCAATATGGTCTTGGCTTGTCCATGGTCTAGTCACAGAATTAAATGCCTGGCATAAATTCACCTTCCAAATATAAATGTGAGCATGCGAGCACCCACACCCACACACACTTCTGTCACTATTGGAAGTAGCATAAACCTGCTCTGCTGGAAAGGGTAGTACCTCAGTCTGCCAGGGGATGGAGACACACCCAGTAACAAATTGAGCGTAGAAGCTGTCATCTGTGGTGTCCAGGTAGACTCCTTTCACTGCAGAGAACCGCCCAATATCCACGACATCCTTACAATAAATGGCATGAGGCTGTGCCCCAAGAACAGAGAAAGGCATCAGCTCGTGAGATGAGTGGAGTAATCCTTAGCTCCCTTAATCACAAAGAACGAAGGCATGCAAAACCCATATTTAAATGCCACCAGGCTGGGGTGTACTGGCGCATGTCTATGATGGCTCTATAATGTGAGCTGTCTCTGTGGTCTCGTTTGCTTAAGGTGAGGACACAGGCAGTCTAGGACTACCCCAGGCCCCTGACCTACATGTTCCCCAACCCTTCTCAGAACTAGGGAAATGGTCCCTCCTCAGAGACTGCTGGCAGCCTGCCTTCCCTGTTCCTGACCCTAAGCAGTCCACCTCTCCAGACCAGATGGCCCATCTGAGGTCCTTGTCACGGACTCTTGTCAGATGATGCTGTTCCAAATGTGCTGGTCAGCCTGACCTACTTCTTATCTCTGCAGAGATCTTCCCTGTCTTGTTCTCCCTGTGCCTTGATACCTATAGCGCTGACTGGCAGGTAGTGGGCATTTGCTAAATATGTCACACGGGAATCAATTCCAAGGAAGCTGTAACATATAATGTGAAGATAAAGACACAAAGCAAGTCCTGAGCAAGTCCTACTACTACTAAAAATATTTTAATCATACACCTACCTCTACTCCACCAACCCTATAACACTTCCTCGTCTTCATGTTTCTACAGGGTCTGTAGCAGGCTGTTCAGGATAGAGCTGAAGCTGCCTTTGCTCTGAGTTTATTTAATAAAGAATATGGTTACCTACCTGTCTTCCTGTCCTGCCCTAAATGGTCTTGCCACCAGACCCTTCCCATGACCTGGCCCTGCCCACTGCCTGCCAAAAGTAACTAACTCCTCCCATGGCCTGGCTCTGCTAAGGCTGTGTATAAAGTCCAGAACCTTGTGGCCAGAAGCTATTTTATCCCTGAAAGTGAGCCATATCAGGTATTTGAACAATTGACCCCACAACTGAATAAAGAGAAGTCTGCTGATCTGAAATCTGCTCCCCGCCTCCGTCATTTGTGCACTCATGTGCTTACACTTATGCTGTGCTGGATTCCCACAGGCCAGTGCCCTGCCCTGTGCTAAGCACTTTGGAGACATGATATCATTTGATCCCAACAGCATGCCCAAAAGGAGGCACGGTGACAGCTCCAGGGTCCTCAGGGTGGGGCCTGGCTATCATCCCAGGACCTTATAAAAACTGGAGTGGGGACTTATATTCCAGACTGAAGTAGCAGGAAGGCACTGCTTTGAGAAAGTGAGCACAGGACAAGAGGTAAAACCGACCCAGAGCAGAACAGGGACCTGTGTAACAGGGAGGGCCTGGAAGGGCAGGCCAGGGAGGTCTGAGGTGGTGGTGAGGTGTCTGAGGGCAGGGCTTGGCTGCAGCAGCAGTGACAGCAGACCCCAGGCCCTGGAGTTAGAGAGTTGCCAGGAAGGTCTATGAGTGGCTGAGGGGGCTGGGAGTGAGGAAGGAGGTTGCAGCAGACATGACCTGCCCCACAGAGCTGAAGCCACACCATGACTGCATCAGATACTGTATCTGTTTGGGATCAGTGTTCTCAGACACCAGCTCCTGAGGGCAGCGTACGTACATCAGGGCAGAAAGGCGGGTCCAACATGTTTGCCTCCAGCCTGCTGAAGCTGATGTTCTTGAACACCGGGTGCTGCTTCACTCCTGCAGCCCCCTCGCCCCTGCAGCCCAGCCGCTCACTTGGATTCTTGGTGAGTAGCTGCACAAGAGGCAAAAATGGGTCAACTTAAGCTCCTAGGATAAAAACAGAAACTCAAGACAAGACTCCATAATAACCAAGGAGCCAGGGACAGCAGAAAGCACATATGTGTAAACACAGTCACTTCAACTTCAAAGTAACATTGTCCACCAAACCACATGAATTCTGACCACAGGATGCTTCCCAAAAGGCAAAACTAAAATTTTGCCTTTGAGCTACCAGTAAATGAGGGTTTGGCTACATTAACCCGTAAGTTAAAATATTTATGTCATAGGGGATTTTTTTGAAAGGAAATAAAACAGTTGAGAACTTCAGAGACATTATTTTAATACTAAATTATATTTATAATTAGAAACCACTTTAAATCTATTCATTAAGTCAATCAGCTAACTAAGGTTAAGGCAAAAATTCAGCAAACCTGGTTCTAGAAACTGTATATTCTTAAAATTAATAAAAGTGTCTCTTTTAATAATGTATAAATTCATATGTGTTTGCCACTGTCACAAATTCAAATAATCCACAATTACTATCAAATCTAGAAAGGATAGGCTGCTAGGGGTGGTAGTCCCTATAATCCCAGGTACGTAGAAGGCTAGAGCAGGAGGATGGCTTGAGCCCTGGGGTTCGAGACTGCTGGGAGCCATTAGCCAAGTAGGTATGACAATTTCCTTGCCAGCGTACCCCATGTTGCTTAGTGGAAGGACTCGTGGAAATAGGATATTTTGCAGTGACAGTGCATCTAAGGTGACCTTGCTCAAGGGACCAGGGCGGATCCCGGTTTAGGACGTCCCGGTTTAGGACTATCCGGGTTTAGGGTGGTTCCAGGTTTAAGGTTATTCCTGCTGGGAATAGGGCGTATCCTGCTGCCTGAGTTCCCCTTGAGTTCTCACAGTATTCAGAAAGTATTTTTTGGGAGACAGAAGCCCAGTGGGGGTGGATTTGGGCAGAGAACGTGGATTTCCCCAGAACGTGATTGTAGACGGCTGGTGTGAGTTCGGGAATAAAGAGTTGCTGTTTGAATCTACAAGCTGTGTGGTGGCTCGTGATTGTGTGCCCAGCCAGACTGCGGCACGAGACCAGCCTGGGTAACATGGCAAGAACCCTGTCTCTTATATTAGAATCAATAAGCAAAGGGCTGGGGTTGTAGCTCAGTGGTACACCACCTGCCTTCCACTGTGAGAACTGGGTTCATTCCTCAGCACCACATAAAAATAAAAATAAAGGTACTGTGTCCATCTACGACTAAAAATATTAAAAAAGAAAATGAAGAGAAAAAGAAAGAGCCAGACACTGTGGCACATGCTCATAATCCCAGCAACTCAAGAAGCTAAGGCAAGAGGATTGCAAGTTTGAGGCCAGCCTCAGCGATTCAGTGAGCCCTAAGCAGTTCAGTGAGATTCTGCCTCAAAAAATAAAAAGGACTGAGGATGTGGCTCAGTGAAGTGCCTCTAGGTTCAATTCCCAGTACAAAAAAACAAAAAAAAAAAGGAAAGAAAAGATGGCAACATATTAAAAATCTGGAATGTTAGTACAGCCTAGACCAAGGGTTGGGGAGCTGCAGCCCAGGGCCACATCCCACCAGCTGTTTCTGTGAATTAAGGCTTTACTACCACATGGCCAAGCCATGCTTACTCGGGCTTACAGATGCTGAGCACTGCAGTGGCAACACTGAACCCAAGGTGACGGAGACCTGCAGAGCCAGGGGGCATCTACTTAGGGTCCCACAAGACTCCAAAAGCTGATGCCCAGCACTCACAGCTCTTCTGAACAGAAATCCAAGTCTCCAGACCCAGCTCATCTGAAAGGCTCCAGCTCCTACCCTAGACCTTCAGCCGAATATTCTTTGTTTCTATTTATTTATTTATTTATATTGATTTTTTTTTTTTGGAACACACGACAGTGGAATGGATGACAATTCTTATTACCCATATAGAGCACAATTTTTTATATCTTTGTATGTAAAGTATGTTCATGCCAATTCCTGTCTTTATTTACACATGTACTTTTTTTTGCATTACAATTCTTATTATGCATATATACCACAATTTTTCATATCTCTGTCTGTATATAAAGTAGGTTGACACACAAATCGTGTCTTCATACATGTACTTTGGATAATGATGTCCCTCACATTCCACCATCCTTGCTAATCCCCTGCCCCGTCCCTTTCCCTCCCACCCCTCTTCCCTATCTAGAATCCAATCCCCCCAAAAACAAATGCTGAACGTTTTCTCTGATCTAAGGAGGCTGACTCATAATGGGGTGGGGAGGGGGAGCATGGGACGAACAGATGAATTCTAGATATTCTTTGTTTTCCTTCCTCAGACTTGTGTGCCCAGGCCTGTGTCTAGAAAACCACCCTGCAGAGTCGTGAACTCCATAGGCCCCAGCTTCATCCCGCTCCCTGCTCCCCGGCCCACACTGGATCAGGCTCCCCTCCTCTAGCAGGACAGCCTCAAACATCCTCTATTTTTCCTTTACCACAGTTGTGAATTAATCCTTTGGCTAATTGTTTACTGCCAGTCTACGACGCTTCCTGAAGCTGGGACTGTGTGACTCTCTTGCCTACTGCTGTGTCCCCAGTATCTTAAAGCAGGTGCTCAATAAAAATTGCTCAGTGCATTTACTCTTTGCATGCTTTATTAATCTGACACAGACCTGAAAATTAAGTGTAATGCTAAATACAATTCCTACATCTCAGAGATTTTATGACTCCATTATCAAGCCTGCTACGGACACATACCAGTGAACACCATGGATGGCCTGAATATTTTTGTCCCCTTAAAACTCATATGTTGAAACTTGATCTTCTTTGTGAAGTGTTAACAGGTGGGATCTTTAGGAGGTAATTATATCAATTGTGAATGGGATCAGTGTGTCCTTGTTAGAGAGGTTCCAAGGAGCTTGTCTGCCCCTTCCACCCTGTGAGCAATCAGAACACACCAGCGATGAACCAGAACTTGAGCCCTCATCAGACACCTAACCTGCCTGGCAGCACTTTGATCGTCGACTTCCCGGACTCCAGAACCGTGAGAGTAAGTTTCTGTTATTATACATTATCCACGCTTAGGGATTTTGTCATGGTAGTCCAAGTGTACTAAGACATGGCCGACCAGGCGGCAGAGGGCAGAGGACAAAGTCCGGCACTACTGCTCCTGCTGCCACTGTGTGAGTCACAGAAATAAAACTCTTTTTCAACTGTGAGGCTATTACAGTAACTTGTGATCCATTGTGAGAATTAAACAAGATATTTAAAAATTATAAAAGCTATCTAATGTAAGGTTAGTGTGAACTCCCATCGGGATTACGGTAAAAAGCCAACAATTGTACCTATTCTCTTTCCTTTCCTGTCATCTCTCTCTTGCACACCAGCGAACACCCTGACCTAACCCTCGCTTGGCTCAGTCCCTCAGCAGATGCACAGGGAGCAGTGCCTGCGGGTGGTACCCAGGCCCAGGTAACAGCAAATGGGAAGGCACACAGGGTAAGGCCTCCTTTGCTCTGCATACCTGAGCTGGGCCTGGGCCCAGGTCCTATCCCTGCAGGTGCTTTGCACTCCCTGCTCTCTGCTGGGACTGTGTGACTCTTGTGCAAGTTACTGGTGTTCTCTGAGATGCCTTCATCCAATCTATCCATTGAAATTTAACTCATTCTTTCTTCTTTTTTCACAACCCAGTACTGGGGATTGAACCCAGAGTGCTCTGCCATTGAGCCACATCCCTAGCCCTTTTTATTTTGAGACAGGATCTCACTAAGTTGCTTACGGCCTCATTAAGTTGCCCAGGATGACTTCTAACTTGTGATCCTCCTGCCTCAGCTTCCTGAGTAGATGGGATTACAAGTATGCTCCACAGCACCCAGCTTAAGTTGGGTTTCTTCTCTTAGCAGATAATGAAGGTTAAATGATACTGAACATGTTATGTGCATTATTTCATTTTATCCTCCCAATAATCCTGTAAGGTAGAAGTTCTCCCACCCATATTTTATAGATAGAGACTGGGACTCGGAGAGGTGAGCTCATGGCGGAAAGATGGACTCACCACCAAACTCCAGAGCTAGCTATTCACAACACTGCCCCAGGCGTAGATATCACCTTCTTGCCCAGTGCGCCAGCACAGTGGGATTTCATCCCCCAAATCCTTATACTCTTGTCTCTATCTTTGTTTATGGCACCCACTGCTTTTTCTATCTGTCATTTTGATGGGTTTTAGGCCTACTACTAAACTGTGGGCTCCTTAGGGACAGGCTCTATTTCTAACATTCCTGCAGCTATTGAGTGTACAGCAAACCACACAGTCAATATTTATGAAACTGGCCAGGTGCAGTGGCACACTTCTGTAATCCCAGTGGCTCAGGAGGCTAGGGCAGGAGGATCGCGAGTTCAACGTCAGCCTCAGTAACTTGGTGAGACACTAAGCACCTTAGTGAGACCCTAAGCACCCTGCCTCAAAATAAAATATAAAAAAGGGCTGGGGATGTGGCTCAGTGATTAACTGCTCCCTGGGTTCAATATCTAGTACCAAATATATATATAGCAAACTGAATATAAATAGTAGCTTGATCAGAATGCTGTGACAAGTCGTCACCTCCAAACAGAGTGAGCTGGCTGGGAAAAAAACCAGGCTGATCCCACAGCTCAGTGACAAGCCTACAGCACCCATAGTTTCATATGTGGAAACACAATGAAAGGAAATCAAAATAATTATTCTCCAGCCACTACACCTCGCACCCCCTTTTCTCAGTGCTTAGAGTCCACGACCCACCACCAAGCCAGTCCTCTGCACACAGTCCAGCCCCCTTGCCTCTCTCCTGCTCCACCACACTGCAGAGTTGGGCAGCATGACTGCTGTTCTGCCTGAGCCTGTACCATCCACTGGGTGGGGCAGGGACACTGCAAATCCACTGGACCCCTCTGGGGAACCCTCTTCCACTCCCTAGTCCTTCAACTGTCTCCTCTGTCCTTATACCCCCAACACCTACCTTGTTCCACTGATATTGAGGACCTATATACAGAAGCCCCTGCCCACATCTACTCTTCCAGCTTCACTAGGTGCAGATTCTGGAGGGGCCCACCCACACTCTCCTCCGTCACCTCTTCTCCTCCCCACTGCAAGATCTTGGCTCTGGAGTCTTCCCCTCCCTAGCTGTTTCTTCTCAGGCCATCAGTTTGGAGTTAGCCTAGACCCCTCCCCTCCACATGGGCAAAACCCTAGGCTCTGCCTTCAGGATCCACCCAGGATCTGACCACTGCTCACACCTGCTCTGCCACCAGGAGTCTAAGCCTCCTCCACAGCCTCCTCCACAGGGTTCTCGTGCTGGGCCAGGGGCTGCACAGAGCTGGGAAAAGCCTGCCTGCTCCACAAAAACTACCAGAGTGAGTTAGAAGTTTAATTTCCCAGCAGAGCCTGACCCACCATCCTGCAAATGGATTTGGTGTCCTCGGAAAACTTGGCGGAGTACTGTTCAGGATCCCTCTTCACTCTTCGGTCAACCTCTTCCCGTTTGACTTTCTCTTTGAATTTTCTGAATGGAGAATGTCCCTGAATCATTTCATATATCAGACAGCCAAGTCCCCACCAATCAGGACTAAATGTGTACTTTTCGTTATTGATAACTTCCGGAGCTAAATAACAATACAGAAAATTCAATTAAATTTTAGTTTAAAATCTTTCTATCATTAATTCTAAATAATTATATATTTAATATATAATTCCAACATGGAGGAAACTTAAAAGCATTATAGTAAGTGAAAGAAACTAGACACAGGGGTCAAATAACACATCATTCTGCTTATATGAAACAGATGGAATAGAACAATGCATGGAGACAACCAGAATGAGAGAGAATTCAGAAAGTAAACTCCTGTGGCCGGGCCCAGGGCTAGAAGGGGAGGGTTAAAGAATGGCTGTTAATGAGCACAGGTTTCTTTTTTAAGGTGATAAAACATGTTTTGAAACTGGTGGTGGCTGCACAACTGTGAATACACTAAAATCCACAAAATCGCATGCTTGGAACTGTTGGGTTCTATGGTATGTGATGTCTGTACACACTGGATGAGTTCAAGTCGGCAGGAGAACATCATGAGGCCAAGGTGCTTCCTGAGGGGATGCCCTCCATTCAGAGCCACCCATGGGTGTCCCTAGTGCACTGTCACTGTTTGCCAGTGAGTGTAAATCCCTTAAGCCAGTAAGGGCAGGAATGGTGACATGGGATCTTCTGCAGGACTCTTAGAGGCTTGAAGTTCCCTCAGAGGCCACCAGGGTTGGGCTGGCTCTGCCCACAGATTCCCTGGAAGAAGCAGATTAAGATGATTTCCCAGGAGGTCTGCAAGGTCCACATGCACAAGGATACTGGCAAAGTGAGGGGACCGACAGCTTTGTCCTGACTCTCCCTCATGCAGTGGTATAACCTCAGGACTCCAGAGACATCCAAGGCCTCATTCCTTGTCTGTAAAAAGAGGGGTATAGTCGAGGGGCCTCCTCAGTAGTTCAACAACCTGAAACCATCTACCGTGTCAGGAGGAGCACCAGGCCCCTTGTGTGGCAACTGCTCTGTTCAGAGGCATTCTGGCATCTAGAGGGAAAGGCCGAAGACCACTGAGGTGGTCTTTTACATACCCATGTAGCCAACAGTTCCAACTCTTCCTCGAACCATCTCCCCTTCTGGGATCTGCAAGGCTAAACCAAGATCTGAAATCCGGATGTGTCCTGTGTGTGTTCAAACACGATAGACAGATCATAGGGAGAAGCAATGCCATTTTTTAAAAAATATTTTTTTAGTTGTAGATGGACACAGGGTGCCAGGGATTGAATCCAGGGCCTCACACATGCTAGACAAATGCTCCATACTGAACTGCAACCCTGCCCCAACACCTTTTTATTTTTTAATATTTATTTTTTAGTTGTAGGTAGACATAATATCTTTATTTTATTTTTATGTGGTGCCGAGGTTTGAACCCAGTGCCTCACATGTGCTAGGCGAGCACTCTACCACTGAGCCACAACCCCAGCCCCCCAACACCATTTTAGTAATAGAAACAACTGGAGAAAAAAATTGTCTTAAAAGCCATGGATGAAAAAACTAGCACCTCAAACTCTGAAATCTTTAAATATAAAATTACATTTAACCGCTGGAGTTGTGGCTCAGTGTTAGAGAGCTTGCTGGCACATGTGAGATCCTGGGTTCAATTCTCAGCACCACATATAAATAAATAAATAAATAAATAAAATAAAGGTCTATTGACAACTTAAAAAAAACACATTAAAATAAAAACATTTAAAAAAAATTACATTTAACCTTTTCTCATTTAATAAAATTCTACACAGTGCATTCAGTTTCACTAACAACTAGATATTAGATTTATGTTTGGGAAGTTCTTTAATCATAGACAATCACCATATAAGATATAAACACTATATTATTATATCTGTTATAACTTACCAGGTATACATATGAATATAAAATGACTATTAGATAAACTATAAAACAGCAAACACTTTCTGTCAGAGTACCAGACCAGGAGGCTTATATACACGGACAACTATATATGAATGATATGGAGGTTTTTTCCTAGAGAACAAATGGAATAGAGTCAGGGAAATAACAATCTCAATTAGGGCACTTCATTCAAAGAGCCATACAATGTGTGAATGCCTTGGGCATAGGGGGTAAACATTTATTGAATTCCCATAAAAATAACGCATTGTGGAAAATATTCTTATAAGGACACCTGTAATTGGAAGTGGGCCCAACCTATCTGCCTCATTTTATTGACTGTGGTACTGGAGATGGAGCCCAGGGCCTGGCAAGTGCTTTCCCACTGAGATACTTTTCAGCCCCTGATGAGCTCATCCTACTTTGGTTACCTCTGTAAAGGTCCCGTCTCTAAACACAGTCACATTCTGCACTCCTGGAGGTTGGGACTTTATGGAAGTTGTGAGAATCAAAATGGAGTCACTGTGTCAAATTCTGACACAAAGAGTTGGAGGTAAGGAAGCCACAAAGGGAGGTTCTCACACAATTTGCCCGGTAACAGGAACTATCACAAGAAAATTTTTCTGAACCATGGCTTGCTCTGTGAGTCACACAAGGGCACAAATGTCCCTGGGATCTTGCTTGGGGGCAGGCTGGCACTAATGCTGACCACACTGGGAGAACCCCCCAGATGACAGGAGTCATACCTTGAAGGCACTGGTGAGCCATGGTGGTAGTGTGGTCTGGATGTACTTGGCCTCCAGAGCGAGAATACAGAGGTGAGTTGCATGTGGTGGCAGTTCCTACACACACTGTACAAAGCAGGAGCACGACTTCACTGAGACCTCTGCAGCCTGCAGCTGCAACCTACCCAGACTAGCAGCAGTGAGAGGTTGAAAACTCAGATGAGGCCTAGGGCTACTGCTGGGAAAGAGCCAGCAGAACAGATTCTGCAGTTCAAGTGGCACTTCAGAAGCAGAACTGATCCCCTCCTTTATACATGAGGTGAATGCAGCAATCTTTGCACAGGATGGCAGCATGCCCAAGGTGAATTTATGTCAGTAACGAAAGCTGGTTCAAGATTTAGAAATTAACTACAATAATAAGAAAAAAAATCATAATCATCTTGACAGAAAGGGCACTGACAACATTTAACCACCATTCATTATTTGTTTCCACTCGTTATTTTTAAAAAGGAAACTTCTTAAATCTGATAAAGTATTTCTACAAAAATACTCCTCAGCACCCAGCCAGGGAGTGTGACTCAGTCATGTGCAAGGTTGGTCTCCCACAGATGGTCCAAATGTCTACGAGTTACTTTGATTTGCAGAAGACTAACATCTCAGAGCACTTCTGTGCTCTCATCTTCCCAGCAATCTTGTGAAGGAAGGGTCACATCCTTTCACTGAGAAGAGAGGCACCCCAGGGTTGAGTGTTCTGTCTTTCTCTGTAAGAAGAAAAATCTGAACTCTTTGCTGGCAGTTTCATCAGAATGGTTTGAGGTAGTTTTTTGTTTGTTTGTTTTTTAGTTTTTGTTTTGTTTTGTTTGGAAACTTGTCTCTTGTTAAATAAGGTTCATGAGATTTTTGTCCATTTGGAATGCTTTCATTGAAAATAATTTTTTTATTATTTTTATTTTTATCATGTGGTGTTGAGGGTCGAACCCAGTGCCTCATGCATGCTAGGCAAGTGCTCTACCACTGAGCCACAGTCCCGTCCCAGCCCCTATCATTGTCAAAGCCCATAGGACGTACAACACAGAGAATGAGTCCTAATGTAAACAATATACTTCAGTATAAACTATAATGTACCAATATTAGTTCATCATTTAACAAATGCACCACACAACAGGAAATATAAATCACGGGGGAAGCGGTGTTTCTAACTATTTGCAACAGGCAAGTAAAAAATGAAACTTTAAAAACAATACCATTAAAAACTGTCAAATAACAAAATATATAAGCCCTTTAAATGAAAACTATAAAGCAATATTGAGAAAAATTAAAGGAGACCCGACCCCAATACACAGATCTATATACAACATTGATAAATTGATTCAATATTGTTAAGAGATCAATTCTGTGGAGATGATTCTACAGATTCAAAACAACCCTAACCAAATTCTTAGCACAATATGGCTTTAATTACCAAATTAGTTATCAGAATTTATATAAAAATGAGAAAGTCCAAGACTAGCGAAGGCAATCTTTTTTTTTTTTTAAATTTAAATGTTACAGTTGGACACAATACCTTTATATTATTTATTAATTTTATGTGGTGCTAGGGATCAAACCCGGGGCCTTGCCCATGCTAGGGGAACGCTCTACTGCTGAGCCACAATCTCAGCTCCCCCGCCCCAAAGGCAATCTTGAAGGCCTAAAACACTGGAAGACTTGACAGAATCCAAATGAAGACTTGCTACAGCTTCAGTGGCTCAGAACTGTGGGATAAACAAAAAGATCAAGCAACGGAACAGACTCCAGATCTACAGTAAGAGCCACCCACACAAAGACATGTGCTTTCTGACAAAGTAGATCCCACAGCTGCTGAGAGAACAGATGACCTTTTCAATGAACGGTGCTGGGCCAACTGATCACATATATATATATATAAAGGGCTGTAAGTGCTACTCCACATCAGACACAAAACCAATTCCAGATGAAGTAAATGGGAAAGATAAGACAATACTGTTCTTAGAAGAAAATGCAGAAAACTTTATGGTGTAGGAATAGACAAAGATTTAAGCAAAACACAAAAATCACTAAACTTAATGGAAAAATAATTAACACAGCAGAATACACTAACATTAAGAATGTCAAAACTTCTGCTTCTGGCCAAGAATGAACAATTGATTAAAAATCTGCCTTTCAGGGCTGGGGTTGTAGCTTAGTGGTAGTGCTTGCCTAGCATGTGTGAGGCACTGGGTTTGATTCTCAGCACCACATATAAATAAACAAAATAAATTCCATTGATGACTAAAAAAATATTTTAAAAAATTTGCCTTTCAATAAGGTAACAATTAAAATCTGTTCAGATAGCAGAAGTCTATGATTCCCAAGAGAAAAAAAACATTGGCTGACCCCAGGAGGTCGTGGCCAGGAAGGACAGACCTAAGCGCAGCAGAAGGACTTGCAAAGTTAAGGAGACAGAGATCAGATTTGGGAAAGATAGGTCAGCTCAAGTCTGTGGGGTGGAATTCTGGAGAGGAGGGGGCTACACAAGAAAATCTCCTATTTACATAAAAGACTCAGCATAGGCCTAAGTCTGCTCCCGCCTGGCCTGCACTCGCCTCCCCGCCCCATGCCACCCTTCCTTGGTATCTCCTCCTTTTCACATAAAGGCCGCCCATTTCACAGCTCGGCATCTTCCTCCTTTCCCAATAGCCAGTACAGCTTGGAGAGTACCCCATCTCACACCAACGTGTCCTCCCTCCCTCCTCATAGCCACTTCATTGTCACCGTGGGTCAGCAGTGTGGCGCAAGTGTCAAGACCCAGAAGCTGTGGACACAACTGTGGGCAAGTTACTTCAAGTCTTGGCATGGCCTGTGGGGCGAAATTCCTGGTACCCTCCTTTTTCACCGGATGGGTGTTCCATGCGTAAATTAGACAACAAGCAGAAAGCACTGTCACAGGGTCCCATGTTTGTCTTTGGAACCCTCTGCCTGAGACACCTGTTTTCTCCTCCACAGCGGCCACCCCAGCCTTGTCTATGTCCTCTACTAGATTCTAAGCCTCTTCAGAGCCAAGAAAAGTCATTGGACAAAAGTTCCATCCAGCGATGCATGTGGAGTGCTGAGTGAGTACCACTGGCCATCCAGTGGTAGGGACCATTCTTGGTTCTAGGTGCACTCGTCACTCAGGGAACCAGAGTCTGAGTGGCACCCAGGATGCTGATAAGGGACAGTTCCAAAGGGCCACTCCCCATCCACTTGCACAGGGCCCCCACACAGCTACCATGCCCCGCTCGGGGACATGTGCTATGTGACAAGAGGACAGCACCAAGGGCAGCAGGCTAAGGTACAGGGGGCATGAGAACAGGCATCTGGAAAATGCAGCAAGATGTGGACCCACAGCAGAAACAGAAGGCCAATGTTCTTCTCTCAGTACTCTCACATGCTTCCCAAACTCTGCAGGAACTGAAAACCTGACCGTCTCCACTTGTACACATACAGGGAAGGACAAGTCTCCACACTGCATTCATTTTAAGGCTGCCTGCCAGGAGCTGCTTCCCGCTGCCATTTCCACAGTGGTTTAGCTGCTAAGTCCATGCTCACCTTCTGTTTTGAGTTCCTGTAACAAACTTATGCAGGAGCCAGGACACTCACTTACCATGGTCATCCAGGAGGATGTTCTCTGGCTTTAGGTCTCTACAAGGGAGAAAAAGAACAAAGAACCGTTATTTATTTACTTATTTTAGTACCAAGAATTGAACTCTGGGGTGCTTAACCTCTAAGCTACATTCCCCCATCCCTTTTACATTTTATTTTGAGACATGGTCTCAGTAAGTTGCTTAGGGCCTCACTAAGTTGCTGAGGCTGGCTTTGAACGCACGATCCCCCTGCCTCAGCCTCCCAAGCTGCTAGGATTACAGGCATGGGCCACCACACCGACAAAAGGCTCAATTATTCACAAGTCCGCACTGATTCCTGCGTGCTGATCAGAAATAACCACAGATTCCAAGGCAATTGAAATTGCAAGATTACAAAAGCAGACCAGCACCAAGTAAAACCACCCTTGTTTTAATGACAACTACAGGCAACCATACTACAAAATTCATCTCAGCAAACAACTTACACATGACGATAGCGTCAATGAACTGCTTTGCAGATCATGCAGATTTGAAGACTTTTTGGTGATTAAATACACAGTCCAGTAAAGCAATCAGTCCTTAATAAATCTGACACAATTTATTTTTGGGGCTGGGGCTGTGGCTCAGTGGTAGAGCACTTACCTAGCATGTGTGAGGCACTGGGTTCAATCCTAAGCACCACATATAAATAAATGAATAAAATAAAGGTCCATCAACATCTAAATAAATATTTTTAAATAAATAAATTACTAATGTATTTTTATTATTAATATATTTTGAAGTTTCAACAATTGAAAACGTCCCACACTAGAAGACTCTGGTTTAGGACTCAGACCTCAGCTCTGCTACCTCTCAGCTGTATGGCCATCCACTCTCTGAGCTTTAGCCTCCGCACCTGTAAGATGCAGGGGTCACTATGTGCCTTGCCTGACGGGGCTCCCGTAGGGTTCGGAGGAGATGGAGTTTCCCAGGAGGAAGACATCATCAACAACAGCTGCTGTTATTCACAAGGTAGAGGGATGCCACAACTTATAAATCATAGGAAAACTAAAATCTCTCTTTTTTCCCAGTGCTAGGGATTAAACACAGGGCATTGTATATTCTAAACAAATGCTCTACCACTGAGCTACACTCCCAGCCCAAAGACTAAAACATCTTAAGTGCAATATCTCAAACTACTTGTTTATTTTACTTTCAAGAGAAAAAATTATTTTAAAGCATTTATATTCAACTCTGACTTCACATTTGACTCTGTCGCAACAATTCAGCTTCTCTAAGCATTGCTATCAATCTGTGGGCTTCTCCAGAGGAGGTCTGAAGCCAGCAGAGTGGGGCAGTGAGCCTAGGAACAAGGCCACAGTGGCAAGGGACGTGGATGGAGGAGAAGTGGAGGAAAATCTCTCAAATTAAGAGTAAGTGCCTGTCAGCATCATGGCCACTATGTAGGTGCATGCTCTGCCCACGAGAAGGGTGGCGGCATAGGGGCTAGCCAGTATCAGTGTCCTGCTGAGAGTCCCAAACACCTTCTAGGAGGACACCAAGGACAGAGGGGCAGGAGTGGGAGGCTCCTGTCCACGCGGCTGGTTGCTATTCTAGTTGGGTGCACACACTCTTTTATTATCTGGGTGGGGAGGTGATTAAGACTTTTGTTTTATTATTATTTTCTGTATTTGAGAAAATCCTGCTAAATGTTGCTAAACACTAAGCAAGACTTGATGCAAAACTTCCAGAGCTTCCTTATTTTCCAGGTTTTATACTCAATATTGTGTGTGTGTGTGTGTGTGTGTGTGTGTGAGAGAGAGAGAGAGAGAGAGAGAGAGAGAGAGAGAGACAGACACGTGGGTGTCAAAATAATAATGTTCAGGTTGAGCATCCCTAAAAAAATTAAAAATCTGAAATCTGAAATCCTCCAAACTCTGAAATGCAACTGGTCCCACACTTCAGTTAAGAGACGCTCAACCTGTAGTAATAACACCAGCTAATTTTTACAGCATGCTCACTATGTGCCAAGACTTGTCTATTTTATATGCACTGCCTCCAGCAATCCTTACCAAAGTTTGGCAGAGCAGCTACAGACAAGGTGCCATTCTAGGGGTATCCCCAAGTTCAGTGGGTCTCCCAAATGCTAAATGAAAAGGCAGGATAGGCCCCAAAGCCACCCTGCCTCCTACTTGCCGCTCCACACCCCATACACGAGATGTGTGCTAGTAAATAAGTGCCACACCTTTGGCCTGCAAACCACTGCTTCTTAACCTTCTCTCAAAATTTCATTTCTCCAGGTTTTTAATGTACTCAATCTATCTCCAAGTTTGAACACAGGGTGTGGTAGTGTAGAGAACCTCATCACATGAGGTCAGGTATAGGATCTCCCATTTGTAGACTCCTGTCAGTGCTCAAAGCATTTTGGATTTTGGAGCATTTCTAATTTCTGATTTTCAGATTAGAGATGTGCAGTCTTCACATATTTACGGAACTAGAGAGTAAGAAGAAGAAATTTTCATTTTGGAAGAATGTGGGTAGTATACCAACTAACAGTTCTTATAAATATTGAAATCTGCCATTCTTTCTTTAAATTAGTTTGCAAAGTTTCAGAAAAGATAGAAAAGCAAAAGAGCCTACCCTTCATGCATGTTTTGATGGCCCTTCACCACCATTAGATTATGAGCCTCCTGAGGGCAAGGAGAGTGTATCCTAGCAGACAGCTTAGGACCTGGTAGATATGTGAGACTCATCTACTTCTTCAATTAATGAATAACCCTTTCAGCTACAGATAAACCTATGTGACACACCCATCTGTACGCCCAATGACCTGCATGATCAACTCACTACTGAAAAACTGATAGGTCCAAATTGGCCCTGCCTGCCCTTACTCTCCTGCACACCAAACTCCTGCCCTCTTGCCTGGGAAAGAGGTCATCTGCTTGACAATCCATAATTCAATTACAAGGAAAAGAAATCCAATGCACAGTTAACCATCTGTTTCCTCAGTGGAATTTCTAAAAACATTTTCTCCTAATTATTTTCAATGATAGGGGCTGGGACGGGACTGTGGCTCAGTGGTAGAGCACTTGCCTAGCATGCATGAGGCACTGGGTTCGACCCTCAACACCACATGATAAAAATAAAAATAATAAAAAAATTATTTTCAATGAAAGCATTTCAAATGGACAAAAATCTCATGAACCTTATTTAACAAGAGACAAGTTTCCAAACAAAACAAAACAAAAACTAAAAAACAACAACAAAAAAAACTACCTCAAACCATTCTGATGAAACTGCCAGCAAAGAATTCAGATTTTTCTTCTTACAGAGAAAGACAGAACACTCAACCCTGGGGTGCCTCTCTTCTCAGTGAAAGGATGTGACCCTTCCTTCACAAGATTGCTGGGAAGATGAGAGCACAGAAGTGCTCTGAGATGTTAGTCTTCTGCAAATCAAAGTAACTCGTAGACATTTGGACCATCTGTGGGAGACCAACCTTGCACATGACTGAGTCACACTCCCTGGCTGGGTGCTGAGGCGCTCAGTCACAGAAACTTGGCAGAGCTTCCCCACCTTTCTTGGGTGCAAGGCCGGTGCCTGGGTGTGTCTTCCTACAGCCCCAAGGTGAAGCTACGCTCACCTGTTCCTTTGTAATGTAACTCCTTATGAGCCCAGCATTTGTTGCTTTTGTCCTGGTGGCTTAAAGACTCAGACCTTTGGCCCCCATGTTGGACTGCAATTGGCAGGTTTCTGTACTCACAACTAAAAGGCTCAGGGGTTGAACTGGGCTAACTAGGCTGCATGAAATAACCACACAAGAGACACAAATACCTTTCTCTTTGGGGTCGCTGTGACAGCTCCTCTGACCTTAAGGGTCCGCAGGAAGAGAGAGCGAGAGCACGCGCTGACCCCTTTTATTGAGGAGAAACTATTCAAATGAGACAAAGGGTCAGGTTTCAGAGGGCTGAGTATCTTCATGATGTCCACTGTCAGCAGACTGACTGACACCTGGGTAGGCCACACCCAAGGACACAGTAGGAGAAGGGGACACACGCAAGGCACTTCCATGGAAGATTCTATCCTAAACAGGGCAAGGGGTGGATATTACAAAGGAACAGGTGAGCATAGCTTCACCCAGGGGCTGTAGCAAGACACACCCTCCCACCCAAGAAGGGTGGGGAAAGCTCTGCCACATTTCTGTGGCTGAGCGCCTCAGCACCCAGCAGGGGAGTGTGACTCAGTTACATGCAAGGTTGGTCTCCCACAACCATCTCCAGTAGTTATCACTCCAGGGTGGATGGATTCCTCTGAGTATAGTGATACATAGAAACGCACTAAAGGCCATTTACTAGAGAAGTTTAAAAGCTTCATCTCTGCTTCAGTTATCTGCATCAACAAATGCTGTCAGCCTCTGTGCACCAGACAGCTCCACCTCACAGGAGAAGCTGATGGCAGGTGCGTTCAGGTCCCAGGGAGTCCATGACCTCAACAGCTTGCAGGAACAAGCTGGAGACATGCAGAAACTGGGACCACAAGACACAAAGAGCCACCACTACTCCTGAGGCCACAGACTGAGTCTTGCCTCCCCAGAGGGTGAAAGGTGGGAAGCTTAAGTTTTACATAATGCTGTGTCTTAAAAACTCCAAAAATCCTTCAAGAAAGTCAAATTATTTTATATCACAAATATTGGTCTCACTGCATGTTACTCTCTCAGAACAAGTTATTTTTTGAGTCTTCAAAACTGCCTGTCAGCCACGCTCCTATAATTCCAGCAACTCTTGAGGCTAAATTAAGAGGATCACAAGTTTGCAGCCAGCCTAGGCAATCTAGCAAGAAACTGTCTCAAAATAGAAACTGTCTCAAAATAAAAATTAAAAAGGGCTGGGGGACATGGAGCTGGGGATATGGCTAAGTCCCTAGAGTGCTTGCCTTGCATACATAAGGCCCTGGGTTCTAATCCCCAGCACTACAAAAAGGGGGCGGGATATAACTCAGTGGTACAGCACCCATGGGTTCAACCTCTAGTACTGTTATTAAAAAAAAAAAAAAAAGTAGTTGTCAACCATTTTTCACTTT